TCATCATAAAATATTTACAAAGTTTTTTGCCTTCATAAGATAAGATGAGAATAAAGGGAGATTCATTCCAGAGGCTTGATCTATGAGGTCACATCATTCATTGATTTAGCACATGATCAGCATTTCCACTGAATCAAGCATTGCAGTGAGTACTTGATCTCAGGAAGCTTTGAGTCTAGTTGGCAAGAAAGAGAATAGACAAAGTTACACAATCTCCAACCTGCATTCCTGAAATTCAAAAATCCTCTCAAAATCGCAAATTCTTTTTAACAGGTTGGGGTTGACTTGCAAGGCATATAGGGGGATGTGTAGTCAATTTGTCCCATTTATTGGGGTTGTTCAGGTTTCACATACATTTTTGTCTCTGGGGACAGTGTGTTGTTCCAGACCTCACAGGGCACAGAGTACAAGCACCGTGTCACCTTTCCTAGAATCTGGACATCCCCATTTGCAAAACACATCTCAGCGCAAGGTTGGGGATGCAGGACTGTGGGACGCATTCTAGGCAATGAAGAGTTCACTAGAATGAACAAGGCAGGCATGAGCTCACATTCTACACTTCACAGAACAGACAGCATTTGAATCTTGAAGGAAAAGGACTTCTACAGGGTTCATGGGCTTACAGAAAGCAGGGCGTGGACACTGAGGAGCAGCCATTGCTGAGGTAGGAGGAAAGCAATAGCGACACAAGTGGTTCTAAAGGTTTTGGTCTTCGAACCCCTTTACACTCTTTAAATATGAAGAACCCCAAAGAAGTTTTGTTTATGGGGGTTATATACCTTGATATGCACTGTTGTAGAAAATAAAGCCAAAAAATACTATAATATTTCTTAATTCATCTTAGAAGAAAGAACAGTAATAAATTCATTACGTGTGAACATAGATATCACACTTTTAAATAAACTATTTTCCAGTGCAAAAAAAATTAGTGAGAGTTAGTGCCTATGTTTTACCCTGTTGCAGATCTTTTTAATGTCTGGCTTAATAGAAGGCAGCTGGATTCTCATATTTGCTTCTTCATCCAATCTCTTTCAATATGTTGCTTTGGTTGAAGCATAGGAAGATAATCTAGTCTCACATAGATAAGTAGTTGGAAAAGAGAGGAGTATTTTAGTAGCTTTCCCAGATGAGTGTGGATAGTTGGGGTGACATCAAAACTGGGCAAGAGGTATAATTTCCTAAAAGTTATTTGCAATGTGGAACCTGAAAGTCTGTCTGAACTTTCCATACCGTCATGTTAGAATCGGCTGGCCCTTGCACTAAGCTATGGAAACAACCCAAATGCCCAAAAAGAGATAACTGGATCAAGAAGATGTGGTACATATACACCATGGAGTATTACTCTGCAATCAAAAAAGATAAACTCATGCAACTTGCAGCAACATGGATGGAGCTGGAAGGGATCATGATGCTCAGTGAAATTTTGAATGGCTTTTTACCCACGCAAGATTCTGGATCCTCAGATCTTGGTTCATGTGGAAAACTGTGGTTCAGTAAGTTACACAAATCTAATGTTGATACATTTTACCAGCTCCTTCCCACTTTCTTCCCATGCCCATTCTCAGGTCATACCACCAACCCCATCTGAAGGGCTAGGAGCCTGTGGAAGCTGTCAAGCTTAAAGTGGTGGTCCAGATTTTCCAAATTTCTAATTTTTGCTTGAAAGCTCAATTTTTTTTATTAGCACCAATACAGACAGTGATTGTCTTTCAAGTAGCAGACTCACTTCCGTTGTTTTCAAGGAGAACCTCAGTCAGAGTCTCCAATCTGGAAAAGCATAGTTTGCCTGTCAGTTGTTCTTTCAAAGTGACTAGAGTTCAGTTTGGACTCAAGCAAGCAGAACTGCTTCCCTGAGAAACCAACTGATCTCAGCTGATCGTAGCCAAAGTGCTTCCTCTATACTTCCTATTAATATTACAAAGATGTATTCTCAAGGGTTGAGACTTAAGAAAGTTAATAAATTTTCTTGTCTGTTTTTTTTTTTTAAATCACAAGTATGTGGTGGTGAATAAGGACGAGTTGTTTAGTGCCAATGACTGGTTTCATGCTAAGACACCAGCAGGTTCACCCATCGTGACTTTTATTTCCTCAGTACAAATGGTAACAAAGCGAAAAAGGCAAGTGATATCTTAGTGTTGTATGAGAATATCTTGGACCCTGTGGAACCTCTGAGAAGGTCTCGGGTACCTCTGGGGATCTTAGGATGACACTTTGAGAACCACTGGTTTACATCACAAATGTTTTTGTAAGTTATCCTGGTAAGTGCAGGCTTTATCCTGTAGGCAATGGAAAATCACTAATGGATTTTAAGTAGCAAACAACTGCTCATATTTGTGTTTCAGAAGGGTCACCTTATCAAAAATATGAGGGACAGATTTGAGAGGGTCAAACTACTGACAGTGAATCCACATGGCAGGCGTTATAATAGGCAACATCAAAGATGACTGAGGTCTGGCTAAGGAGGAAGAACTAGTGATGGGGGGATGGGGCATTTGGAGGAACTATTATTTTAGGGACTGGCCTAAGAGAAAGGAAGGAGAGAAGTGTTCAAGGGACTTTGACTTGTGAGTGGGTGGATGATGGTGGCATTTTATTCCGATACTCAATACAAGGAGGAAGACAGCTTGGGGGTATAGGGAAGAGTGGAAGGAAAGTCAATTCAGCTTTTGATCCATCTAGTTTGAGCAGCCTATGGGCCAGCGCAGTGCAAATGTGCAACAGTGGTTCAAATGTAGTGAGAACTCAGGGAACAGAACTTTGGGTGGAAGTAAATATTCAAAACTCATTTGAATAGAAGCTTACAATAAGGGAAGAGATTGTCCAGGGACAGAGTATACAGAGAAGACAGAAGAGGGCTTGTGTAATATCAGCATTTCGGTGCTCAAATGAGGAGGAAGAAATGGGATAAGAATGGGAAAGAGGTTTCAGCATGGTAGAGCTACTGGGTAGATCTGCTGCCATGAAGCTACTCCCTTTTTTGAGGCTTTATTTTTGGTGGCAGATTAAGTCATTGTTCATCAGTGGTCATGGTCTCTTACTAGGGAGGGCATGCAGTTGCCCTGCCCCAATGGGGCAGATGGAAATGAGGCCAAGGCTGCAGATATCTTCTTCCCCTGCTCATTCTTTTGAACCATGAAGAAGATAATGCCCCAAGCAAGTACTAGTCCAAGGAAATTGTGCAGAGAGAGCAGACTGGAACCCAGTCTAACCTGGAGCCAAAGCCAGCCAAGCCACAGCCTGAATCCAAGCATATCACTACTCTGCAGATGTGTTTCAGAAAAATAAACATTTGTTATTATAAATCACTGAATTTGTGGGACTGTTTGTTATGTCCCATTATTATGGCAATAGTTGACTGACACAGGTTCCTTGTTAAATGTTATGAGTCAAACAGACATCTGAGATTAGATAGATATTGGATTTCTCTCTCTCTACTCCCAAAGAAGTAAGTAAATAAGAGTTAAAACTAGCAAAAATGCACTAGTAGCTCTGAATCATAGTAAGGTAGATTAATTGAGGGGAAAACCCCTCATAAGCCTATAATCAAGGAAACATGGTCTGGAGCATGATGGATAGATGGATGGGGACTCGACTTCTGAATCTGCCTTGTTCCCTGATTGGCATTTCATTGCAGGTCATCAAAAATACTGAGAATTCGCAATAAAACTGTGAATAGCATGGGAGCTGGGTGTGGTGGGAAGACAGTTAACTAGCAGGGCTGATCATCTCCACATGAAGTGAAGGGGTCAGGAACTCATGGACGCAGATCAAACCCCAAAGACAGAGCAGATGCCCTCTCTTGTGGAGGTAGCGTGAACCCCAGAACAGAGAGAAGTCTGCCCCACCAGGCTGCAAGCAAGCCTCAACTCCAGCTCTCCCCAGGATAGAGAAGGTGCAGAGATACTACAAGCGAGTTTTATTTACAGGGAGGAGACAATCATGAGACTTCAGCCACCATTGGTACTGAGAGCTCAACATTTAGAGGTTCCCTGGTTAATCTCATAAATTTATCCTGGCCAATCTACTACACTTAGATGACAAAGAAAGTCTTCTGCAGGAAGCTCTCAGCAAAAGCAAATAATTTCCATGGAGGAAAACTTTGTCTTGTCCGGCTTTCTCCACAGCATATGAAATGCCGGATGAGCAAGGTGCACAGTTCTTGTGGGGAAATACGTGAATGAGAATTTTGTCCCCACCCACCATGTCACTCAAACATCAGGTTTAAACAGAAAAGCCATCTTAACCGAGAGAGACTCAAAGGAGAGAGCACCTGAGTCTTGAAGTAACTACTTGACCGTGAAAATCCAGTTAATCCAGAACCAAAGCAATGTAAAAATTTGGGGAATGGAGTCACTGGATAAAGGCCTCCTGGGAAGCACCATATCCTCTCAGAATATGAGGATTAAAGCAAAGATCATGGTGAAGCACGAATCGCAGATATCACAGACCTGGGCAGTGTGAGTCACTGCTGCCACAGCGACCGTCAGAGGCTGGCGAAAGCCAGCAGGGAGGGTGAGAAGAAGCCCAGCGGGTTCTTAAATGTACTTATTCGCAGCCCAAACTCCCTACATTCTGTCCAAGAATTCAATGTCACCTCTGTCTTACTCTAGTTTCTTTCATTGCTGAATTTCAGTAAAATTAAAAAGATTTTTGTAAAAGAGAAATGTAGAATCTAGAATCTACTGTCCCATTTGTAAGTCTGTCTGGCTTTCCTCATCTAATTTTTTCTTCAGACATCCTAGGATATCTGAAATGATGCTCACCTCAATGTGTGTGTGGCGATTTCTGGGTGATGCAATGCAGCTGGCTTTATTTTTACCTTCTTCCCCCTCAGCATTTTGAATTATGATCATGCACCATTTTCTAATTTTACAAAAACAAAAGGGTGGGTTTCTCTAAAAAAAAAAAAAAAAAGAGGTAAAAGGATACAAATCTGCTGTGATGCTAATGCACAATGTTGGCTCTGCAAAGGGGCGGGGCCACTGGTCTATGATGGAGGATTATGGGTGCTTTGGTGGTGGGTGTGGTATGGGGGACACACAATCTCTGCCACTCCTCCCGTTTGGGGCTGGCCATGGGACCTGTCTTGACCCAAAGAATGTGAAGTGTTACTGGGACTCTTCCTAGGTGGCCTGGAAAGTGCAGGTTTTCTCTCCTCTTTGAACACGGCCTCCGATACCAGCTGCCTTGGGGTAAGTCTGACTACAGAGAGGGGGCCCATAGGCACAGGGCCTGGCCCAGCCTTGGCCCAGCTTCCTGCTCAATGTGACTACCAGAGGCCCAGCCAAGGCCACACACTGATCAGAACACCCAGCCCATTCCCGCCCACTTTCTGACCCAAAGGATTATGGGCATATAACATAGTTTTTACATTTATACCATCAAATTTTGAGGTAGTTCATTATGTAGCAGAGATGACTCTTTTAAGAGGCTTGACTTTGTAAGGAGTGGGTTAAAGCAGTAAGGAAGTGCTCTTAATTTTTCACGAGGGGTATATTACAGCATCAAAGATCTACTTGTATGAATATGTTTATTTCTATAATTCTTTTTAGGCTCCAGGAGTGCCGTTCTGTGGAAGACCTTGCTTCATCTGCTGTTCTTCGGCAGCGAGGCCATGTCTATGGCTCAGCTGCCACCGCTGTGCCCTTAAGAGTCCGTTGGACTCCTTCAGGTTGGTGACACTTCCTGTTTTACCAAACCACTTCTATTGCTTCATTTTTATGTTATAATTTAAAAGTTAGAGCTGAGATACAAGAAGAAAAATGATCACAAACTCCACCATTTCAAAATATCCAGTAAAATTTGATCCATGATCCCAGTCTTGTCCCCACTTTACATGGATTTTAATTTGCAAAAAACTACCTCATGATATTTTGTAACCCTCACTTTCATTGAAAAATATAGCAAACATTTTCAATATCCTTCAATATCCATCGTCAATGTAATTTTCAATAGTGCATAGTTTTCAGTTTATGTGCCATGGTGAAAAACAGAGAAAGGAGCTAGAAAATGCTGGCATGCAGGTGTCTAGCACATTCCAGGCACTCAATACATAGTGGTGAGATAAGCAAAGAAAAAAAAAAAGAACAAGAATTCTGCAATGAGCATCTTTTTGGCTATAATTTATTGCAAACTCTAGTTACCATCTTTGGGCAAAGGTTCAGTCTGTTTTTCAGGCAATCTACGGATGTAGATACTGTCAAGTTGTTCTCCAGAAAGGTTTTATCAAATTACTCTGCATCCGACTGGTGGCTTTTTAAGTGGATTTTAGTAGACACTTGATACCTTAGGTTTCCGCTAAAGAATCATGTAGTAAAAGGTCTATTTATCTGCAAAAATTTTACTATAAGCTCTGGCAGAGTGAGTCTGGGGTCACTCTCCATCTCTTTTTTTTTTTTAAATAGAGGCATGTTTTATTTATTTATTTATTTGTTTGCTTGTTTGTTTATACATGCACTGGGTACAGTCAGAAGCGCGGGAGGGTGAGAGAATTCACCAGAGCCAGAGCGGGGAGCAGAGCAGGCAGAAGGACCGAAGTACACTGCTGAGGGGAGCAGCGGGCGGCAGGAGAGGTCTGCGCACCATGTGGGACCCTCCTCCAGTGGCCAGGGAGCAGCTGGGGATTGAACCGGCGCTGCAGAGGCTGCGGGCAGCTTCGCAACCCAGTGCTCACCCGCTGCGCCACTGGGGAGGCCCTCCATCTCTATTTTTGATCACCAACTCCAGAGAGCTCAGCTCATCATCACCCAGAAAGTGGGGTGATGTATGCTTCACAACTGGCATGCACACCCTTTCTGCAAGACGACTTAAGGCAAATGAAATACAGAAGTATTGGACCTCCCCGGTGGCACAGCGGTTGAGCGCTGGGTTGCGAAGCTGCCCGCAGCCTCTGCAGCGCGGGTCGATCCCCAGCTCCCCGGCCACTGGAGGAGGGTCCCACATGGTGCGCAGACCTCTCCTGCTGCCCGCTGCTCCCCTCAGCAATGTGCTTCGGTCCTCTGCCTGCTCTGCTCCCCGCTCTGGCTCTGGTGAATCCTCTCACCTTCCCGCGCTTCTGACTATACCCAGTGCTTGTATAAATAATAAATGAATAAATCTTTAAAAAAAAAGAAATAAAGTATTATTTAATGTCACTAATATTATGTGCATATAAGCTTATTTTAATTTGCCTGCAGATGAGTGTATCTGGTCTGGAAAACCAAATATAAGCCTCCCACTGACGATGCCTCTCCTGGAGTATCTGTCTATGTAGCTATAGCGATACCTATAACATGCTCAAATAGAATTAGAATGTTCAAATCAAACAACTGTTGCAAAACTGCTATTATCAACATGAGAGAAAATTAGGATGAGGATATCCAGGTTCTGTTACGCTCCTGGCCACTGACTCACGTTCACAGACAGAACGGAGGAGACTGCAGGATGGCGTAATAGTTAATAACTGAGGACAGTGACTTGAACCTGGCTCTGCCAGCTGTTTAGCAGAGACCAGGGCTGGTAATTTAACTCCAGAGATTCAGCTTTCCCATTTGTAGGATGGGGATGAGAAAAGTGCCTTTCTCACAAAGATTACTGTAAGGCTTAAATGAGATAATGGAACACAAGATGAATGAAATATTTGACAGACAGCTTGGTATATACTACATGTTGAATAACTATCAGCCATGATACTGAAATTATTTTATGAGACACAGTCTAGAAAAAAAAGAACAAAGGCAATGAGTGCTAATGAATTATCTTATGTAGGTAAGTTAAATATAGTCATTCACTTTACACAGAATCTAAGTGAGTAAATGGAAGCCAGGCTATATCTACATTGTAATTTTAATTATTTTTGGACACTTATGACACTTATGTTTTGGAGGTCATTATATCTACTACCATCTTTAAAATTTGAAAATTTGTTGGAAATTAGGATCAAAATGATTGTCCTTTTTCATAGCTAAGTGAACTAAAACCACAAAAACAAGTAATTAAAAATGGGCAGTTGGATGAATTTCCCCTCTTTCAAGATTTTTCTTAATCTTTTGAAACAATAATAGAAATCTCGTTGTTATAGAACTGCTTAATTTTGGCTTACATTGGAATTCAGTAATTTATTTAAAATATGGCAATTACTTACCACTTGGTATTTGGACATAAGGTGGAAAGAAGTTCACTAAAAGTGCAATTTTTATATAACTAAAACAATTTAAAGTATGCAACTCAGGTCACGCAAAGTGGAAGCACATCAAGGAGCACTGCTTACACACTTATAAATGAAAAAATGTTCAAAGATTTTTCTTCCATTAACTAATAGAATATGAAGGAAAAAAGAACATCTTTTGGCCTCATATCTTGTGTGTGTGTAAGTACAAAGACAGAAATATAGAGAGAAAATCTCATTTGCAACAAAACAAAACAATTCCTTACCTTCACAGTGAGGAGGCTGGATGTAAAGGCCTCCAGGATTTTGTCCATAAAATTACCAGGATTTTAAAAAATATTATTCTGTTTAATATTGTCCAGGTTTAAAGTATATATTAAAAAACCAACTTCCATTAACACGACCTTTCCCCTAAACTACTCCCAATTGTCCACAATAGGTCATAGAGCAGAAAGGGGGGGGGGTAAGGCAACAATAAAAGCCCAATGTTTCATTATTTTCCTTTGCTTCATGTCATTACATATTTCAGGCATTGTAAGAACCAAGTAAAATCACTGAAAAATAATCTTTTGCTGGGAATCCTTAAAAAATGTTTGTCCTCTTTTAAATCTTATTTATAAAGGTTTCCAGATGCTTCTTCTCACAGATTAAACACAGCATGATGTAGACACTTAAAATAATACTCACCGCCATGGAGCCAAGAAAAAGCTACTTTGAGCTCTAACTGCCTATCGCCTGAAGAATCAGGGTCCAGGGAATTTTCTGTCGCTATTAAAGGTGTGATTCTCTGAAGCCATTTGGAAACAACCTAGGTTCTCAGCAGCAACACATCTACCTGGTACTGTGTCAAAGCACATCAAATGGCTGGCATTCCAAACCTCAAACAGGTTATTTCTCATTATGTGAATACATAATAAAAGGATGTGGGCAAAGAATAGAATGTAAATTGGAAGCTGATTTCTGAATTTATTAGCTAGCAATACTGGGGAAAAAAACAGTCATTCTGATTTCAAGAGACAGTTCCAAAGTGGTTCTCAAGAGAAAGGACAGAGTATTTTTCAAATATTTGTTCAATGTGAATGGATGGGGCTTGCCAAAAATGACTTTTTATGCTGGCATGTGATCTCTTAGAGGGAAGTCAGCCTGAGTCACTGGCTACATCAAAGGTAGAGTCCAGTGAATGGAATTACTGCAGGCTGTGTGAACAAGCCAGATACCTGCATTCATCTGCCCACTGCTGGGATTGCAGCCCTCCTTTTAATTACATTAAAGCAGCTGGTACCACTGGTTACTGGAGTCTTCAGATTACCTTGATTGCTCGGTCATTATCTCTAATCAGCTGCTGCTTCTCATCTTCAAACTTCTGTACAACATCCTGGAGCCGCCTTTCTGCAGCAAGCTGCTGCCGGCTGTTCTCCTCTTTCAGAGAGGAAATGGTTGTCTGAAGTTCTGCTATGATCTAAAATGGAAACAGCATGCTATAACTCCAGACTCTTCAGTGAGAAGCATCTATTTTATATGTATTTATGCCTAACAAAAGAATGGATTGGCAAGACTCTATTTCACAAAATAAATATTTTCAATTAACACATCACACACTATAATGCATGAAATTCCACACCATAAAAGACGACAATAAAACTCTGAATGGCCAACAACTGCCAAACAAAGTATATTTGGAAGACACTTCCACTAGAACATTCCACACTATTTGCTCATCAGAAGAAAGAACATCTGTGATCTCGAAAATATGAAACGTGTCAGATTTTATTTTCCTGAGAAATATGCTTGTTAGAATGAAGGAAACTAGTCAGCCTTTCAAAATACTTTGAAGCATAATAATCAGAGAAAATAATGAACAGAGTTCATTCTTCATCATCACCTAATTCTCCATGATAATGTCTGAGTGTTCACTAATATTTGTGCATTGGGCTAAGCACTCTAAGTTCCTGCCATTCTCTACCGTGAGACACGCATTATCACTGCCCATCTTTCACAAGAGGGAGGACAGAGGCATAGAAAGAGGGCAAATATTTCACATTGTTGAAGATGACATCTGACCAAGGACATGAGCAGGATAGGAACCACGTAGGCACGCAGATCCTACACTAAAAGGTTCTTCTGACTATGTCTACTTTGTTTTCTTTTAAACAAGGTTTGGCATCGAAGAGAAGTTATGACAATTTCACACAGGTTGCTTTCTTCCTGATACACATCCATGAAAATTTATTTGGGTTCAAACAGTGTCATGTCAGAGGCTCCTGTAACACTACGCATTTAAGAACTGGTTCTCTCCATGGGATCTAAGTCCTCAAAGCAATCATCTGGTGATAGACCTCTTAATGTAAGGGGCTTTTTGGAGAGCATTGCCCTTCCTTTGGTTTGGATGTATCCATTTCCTTTCTAATTCAATAGTGATGACTTTTTAAAGGCAGGAAGTGGTTGTTTCTTCTAATAACAGAAAAAAGCCTTAGTCCTGGCCTAGAATCTTGTTCTGTTGGTTCTAAGGGAGTAGGAGTTCATGGTAGAGAAACACTGGGCAGGTTTTCTTCCTTGAAGCTCAGTTTTCCAGCTATAATTTTTGATGACGTTGGATTACAGCATTATAAGGCAATCCCTTGAAGTTGTCTGGAGTCCCCCAGAAGCCAACTTCTATGGAAATAGTAGTTATCACTACTGACATAAATAACAGCATATTTACAATATAAAATATGAAGTATTTATGCTTTTAGAACTGAGCAAACCCACTGTAACAAAGCGTGACATTCAGAATTTCTATGTTGTTAAATATTAAGATAATTCGAAATGACAAAATACACATTAACAATATGTTAATATTTCTCAGTGCAAGCTTGAACCTTCTGCTATAAGTGGAGGAATTCATGCACTGAGAATTAAGATGTTTCCATCTTTTTCTGAATTTTGATTAAATGTTGTTTCCTTTCTGGCTTTGATTCCCCTAGCACTTTTATGAAACAGGGAAGGTTAAATTCTTATAGTAAATGTCAAAAACTGAGACACAGAATAATCAACTCACATCACAAGAGCAAGAGGAGTCAGAGATAAGAAAGTGCCAGATCTTCTTGGCCTAGCATGAAACTTAAGATTGTGATTTTACAAAATCATGGAGCCAAATGGTAAAAATATCTTACTATTTCAATGGCTATTGCAGGGTTTCAAGTGCAGTATGTTCCAACTTTATGGTAAAGCGGTGAGCTTCATTCTGCAATGTGTTTACTGTGTGCTCAATGTGTTCGTGTCTGGTCCTAAGTGACTTTATCACACGCAGAGTTCATGTAGCTACCACTGCAATCACTCGCTGTTCTTAAAACACAAAGTCGTTTCATTTCATTAAAAAGCAACATTTAGATTAGCTTTCAATTGACCAAGACTGAAGATGAAACTATTTGGGGGTTCTTCAAATGACCACAAGGGCATGATTGGGATCTAACATTTTTAGAAGATTTACAATAAGCATACATAAAAAATAAATGAGGTTTAGGAAGGAACTATAAGCAGAGTCCATAATGTCCTCAGACACTATGATTGCTTTTGGGTGAGAAATGAAACCTTACATTCTCTGGGGGAATAATAAGATTCCTTTGAGAAAATGAGATTGTCTTTGGAAAGTTGCATTATTTAAAAAGCTATCCTACTTAAAAACTTATGAAAATGATAGAAGAGAATATTAAAACACTTGAGGTGAAAACACCTCAAGGCAAATTGGTTAGAAGACTGACAGAGAGAGATGGCTAAAATTTGGACAATTTTTAAAAACAGATTCGAAGTTTAATTTTAGAATAAGAGTTAGGCATAATCGATTAATATCTTTAGGTAAGGAATAAACTATTGGTTGTAGATTGTAAGACAACATACTAATTTTATTTTAGTTCCATGTACATCACTGGCATTCAGTATATATTTTTGTAGTGGAACTACAATTATAGTAAATAAGAAAAAATCATTACATGGCAAATTATATTGAGATAACCTAGTCTTTTTACAGAATAATAATGTAAAAAATTTGAGAAAATGAAAACTCATTTGTATAATCATAATCAAAACTTACTAGTTTTGATTGAAACATAATTTGAAACCATAAAACAAAATGCCATCCCTCAACTACACGCTTATCCTAGCTTCAGAGAAAGAACTGGATTGGGATATTTCCACATGGATATTAAAAATGAATACTTTGGGAAGCAAAAGGAGAGCTATTTTGGGCTGATGCTGTAAGCAGCCAACCCCATGAAAGGTATAATAGTTATTGTTAAGCAATGAATATTTTGCATAACTGTTAGTGGTCTTAAAAGTAACAATTCCAAGTACAGGTTAAGATTTCATCTCACTCTCACTTTACTACATTTCAGGTAATAGTACAGTTTGGATTTTTACTAAGCCTTTCTCTCAAAATCTGGTAGACAAGGCATACCATACAATGTCATGCCATATATTGTTTGACAAACATTGGAGATCTTTATGGAAGAAGTGGTGCAGTGCTCCCTTTACCCTTTGCAGTCTGGTGGTCACCTGGGAGAGCGGCAGGAGGGTGGGCATCTGGACAAGGAGCAGCAGCCCAGGCCCTGATGTGCCTGTGGTACATGGGAGCTAGTGTGGGCAGTGGGGAGGTAGGTACCTTGGCGGTGGGTGATCTTCACATTCCCAACTACTTAGGTCCCTGTGAAATGACAATTATCTTTCTTTGAAAAATGGTCACCCAGGGAGTCAGTACAGTGGGGGAAACTGTACGCAAATTGAAAAGGCAAGGTTAATATGGAATACTAAGATGAAAAGGGCAAGTATGTGGTTCTTATAGAAACGATGTTTCCAGTGTTCCCAGAGAGAATGCACAAGGTGTCATCCTGGAAACCTGGGGGTACAGTCCTGGGATATAGGCTGAGGGTTTAGTGCGCCATCTATCAGACCCTAAAGGTTTGATAGATTAAGATTAAATAACTTCCTTTAAGGGAGGAAAATATTTCAAATATTTTCCAGCTTTAACCTGATGATCTCCTGGGTACCAATGCATTCATTACTAGTGCCTTCAGCTTGTTATTTTCTGTTTTTTTTTTTTTTTTTTTTTTTTTTAAGAGAGGGATTGTTAAAAACCTGCTAAAAAATCAAGCAACTTTGCTCTGGCATTCTCATCAGTTTAAATATGAGCCAGAGCTAGAGATTCCAACACACCATCATTGGAAAACAGAAAAATTTAATCCTCGGTTCTATTTTATAATGTTCATTTTCAAATAATCTATTTCTTTGAACTGATAAACTGTAGACCAGTGTTTCTCCAATGCCAGTTCATATATGTTTATATACCTGGGAGTGTTACTGTGTAGATAGAGGCGGATGAACAAAACATCACCGTAAGGTTGTCATCGTACCTTTCATGAGAAGAATGGACAACCTTGTATTACACTTTCACACCCATTTTAAGATTGTTTTTGTTTTTAATGTTGCACTGTCTTTTCGATTTTGAAATGATGGCTACAGTACAGTGTAGTCACTATATTTGGTTTTCCTCCTCTTTCTCTTCCTCCACACCTCTCCGCCTCATCCTCACTTGGGAAAATAATCAGCAACAAATTTTAGAGAGAATCTTTGTCAATGGGGCAACGCCCCAGAGTTTTGAATCAATAATTGCTTCCCATTCTTCACTCCCTCCTTTCCTTTCTGCTTTTTAATTTTAATATTGCAACCCTAAGAGCTCCGGTAAATTCTTTATGATGTACTAGGCGCTGCACTAAGCATTTTCTTTTTGGCATTGTGTTACTTAATACTTAAACTATCCTATGAGGTAAGTACTACTCCCCCATTTTACAAATGAGGACACTGGATTCCAGAGAGGACAGGTAACTAGCTCAGGGCCAGGCGAGTGGCAGGGCTGGCGTGCAAATTCAGGTCAGCTGGACTCCAGCGCGTCAGCTTCCACACTGAC